TTTTCTCATCCCCCATGGCCCCTCATCTGGTTTCCTCAATCAACCACCCTGCAGGTGGCAGCAGATGGGACCCAAACAGGCTATTACACTGTGGAGTGCAATGACCACAAGCCTTCTCAGTGTGATCAATGAAAGGGGTTTTGGGAGAAAGTTTGTGCAAAGCGAGCCAAACCAGGGTCATAAATAGGGGCAACCCGATTATGATGACCAGCTTGCTTTGATAAACTTCTAACTCCCACACCTGGCATCCAAAACTCATGGTCAAGAAATGAAGAACTCCATGAGTGTCACAGAACCTCTGTTTGAACAGATCATTCCCATAGCAACTGGGAAGTCTCAAGGGGCGCTTTCCCACTGAGAGTTCCCAAGACAGCCTTTGGCTTTGTCACAGAACATTTCAAAAACACTAATCAGATGCTTCAGAGAGGCATTGTCATTTCCATCTTCCATCTTCTACTTCATGACCTGAAAATCTGAGGTGAAGAACACCACACCTGGGAGTGGAAGCTGGCCTTTACTATGAATGCCCTAAAGTCATGGGACACGGAAAAAGAAAAAGAAAAAAAGAGAGAAAGCGGCATTTGAGACATGCCAATTCCTAACAGTACAGTGCTCCATCAATGGCTTTCATTTCAGAGGTACTCCATCTCTCCTTACATGCTCTCCATTGGATGATCCCAAGACAGCCATTGCCTCTGTCACAGACCTGTAAAGAACTCTAATGCAGTTGCTGCTTCAGACAGTCATTGTCATTTCCATCTTCCATCTTCTACATCATGACAGTAAAATCTGAGGAAAAGAACACCATGACTGGGATTGGAAACTGCAGTTTACTATGAATGCCCTAAAATAAAGGGACACCAGAAAAGTAAGAAAGAAAGAGCCATTTAAGACCTGCAAATTCCTAACACTACAGTAATGCATTAAAGGCGTCCATTTCAGTGGCAATCCATTTCTCCTAACAGATTCTCCATTGAATGTTTCCAAGACAGACCTCGCCTCTGTCAGATCATTCAAGAACCCTAACCCAGTAGCTGCCTCATACTAGCATTGTTGTTTCCATCGTCCATGTTCTACATCATGACCTAGAAATCTGAAAAAAAAAAAAAAAACAAAAAGAACACCACGAATGGGAGTGGAAACTGCCTCTACTGTGAAAGACTTAAATTCATGGAACTCCGAAATAGAAAGATGCACTTGAGACCTGCAAAAACTTAACACTTCAGTGCTCCATTAATGGGTTTCAGTTCAGAGTTAATGCATCTCTATCACATGCTCTCCATGTAATGTGCCCAAGACAGCCATTGCCTCTGTCACAGACCCATTCAAGAATCCTAATCCAGTTGCTGCTTCATACAGCCATTGTTGTTTCCATCTTCCATCTTCTACATCATGACAGAAAAATCTGAGAAAAAGAATATCAGGCATGGGAGTGGAAACTGGCCTGTACTACGAATGCCCTAAAGTCATGGGACACCGAAGAAGAAAGAAAGGTAGACCCATTTGAGACCTGCAAATTCCTAACACCATAGTGCTCCATCAATGGCTTTCAGTTCAGAGGTAATCCATCTCTCTTCACATGCTCTCCATGGGATGTGCCCAAGAGAGCCATTGCCTCTGTCATAGAACATTTCAAGAACCCTAATGCAGTTGCTGCTTCATACAGGCATTGTTCTTTCCACCTTCCATCTTCTACATCATGAACTGAAGGTCTGAGGAAAAGAACACCACGCCCGGGAGTGGAAGCTGGCCTTTACTATGAAAGACCTAAAAGTCATGGGATCCTGAAAAAGAAAGAACGACCCATTTGAGACCTGAAAATTCCTAACAGTTCAGTGCTCCATCAATGCCTTTCAGTTTAGAGGTTATATGTCTCTTCTAACATGCTCTCCATTTCATGTTCCCAAGATAGCCATTGCCTCTGTCACAGAAGATTTCAAGAACACTAACCCAGCTGCTACTTCAAACAGTCATCATCATTTCCATCTTCCATCTTCTACAGTATGCCAGTAAAATTTGGGGAAAAATACTCCAAACCTGGGAGTGCATGCTGGCCTGTACTCTGAATGCCCTGAAGTCATGGAACCCCCAGAAGAAAGAAAGACCCATTGGAGACCTGCCAATTCCTAACAGTTCAGTGCACCTTCATTGGCTGTCACTTCTGAGGTCATACATCGCTACTAACACGCTCTTCATTTAATGTTCCCAAGACAACCATTGACTGTCACAGAACTTCTCAGAATCCTAATCCAGTTGCTGCTCCACACAGGCATTGTCGTTTCCTTCTTCCATCTTCTACATCATGACACTGAAATCTGAGGAAAAGAACACCATGCCTGGGAGTGGATGCTGGCCTTTACTATGAAAGACCTAAGTCAGAGAAGAAAAGAAAGACCTACTGGAGACCTGCCAATTCCTAACACTTCGGTGCTCTGTAATTGGCTATCACTTCTGAGGTAATCTATCTCTCTTAACATGCTCTCCATTCACTGTTCCCAAGATAGCATTGCCTCTGTCACAGAACATTTCAAGAACCCTAATCCACTTGCTCCTTCAGACAGGCATTGTCGTTTCCATCTTCCATCTTCTACATCATGACAGTGAAATCTGAGGAAAAGAACACCAAGCCTGGGAGTGGAAGCTGGCCTTTACTGTGAATGCCCTAAAGTCATGGGACCCTGAGAAAGAGTGAAGGACGCCTGTAAGAAATACAATTCCAAACAGTTCATTGCTGCAAAATGGCTTTCAGTTAAGAGGTAATCCATCTTGCTGGGAGCCATTAGCCAAGTAGGTATGACAATTTCCTTGCCAGCGTACCCCATGTTGCAGTGACATTGAATGTAGGTGACCTTGCTCAAGGACCAAGGCGGATTAGGGTGTTCCTGGTTTAAGATAATCGGGTTTAGGGCGTTCCCGGTTTAGGTTCCAGGTTTAAGGTTTAAGATTATTCCTGCTGGGAATAGGGCATATCCTGCTGCCTGAGTTCCCCTTGAGTTCTCACGGGATTTAGACAGCAGGATACGCCCAGCCAGACTGCGGCACCATCTCTCTTAACATGCTCTCCATTTAATGTTTCCAAGACAGCCATTGCCTCTGTAACAGAACATATCAAGAACCACATTCCATAACACATGGAGTGCATGTGACCTTCAGCAAAGTTTCTCACTCAATGTATTTTGAGTGATCCTTTCACAAGTGTACAGGTCTCCCTTGACTTTGTTAGGAACACAATAGTGCATTTTAATGGTATGTTCTTTCTGATTGACACACTCTCTGTTCACACATTCATACCATTGTCATGACTGCAGCCAAGCACTGTGATGAATTGGTAGCTATATTTTAATCTTTAGGTGACGTAGCATACAAGCTTTCTATCATTTTGTTCCTAAATTCTTATATTTGAACATTAAATAGTACTCATAATTTTATTTTTTGTTCCATATATCATAAACACTCATTTTTTATTCTCTGCTTTATAACATACAGATATTAGTACTTTTGACTCTTCCTCTGAGTTCTTTCAACTTCTGTTATTTGTTTTTTATTTTTTAATTGTCAAGATTGGACAATTATCTAGTATATATTACATGGAAAAGGAAATCCATTAACTCTTAAATTTAAAGAATATTTCCATTCTGCGTTAAAAAAATAGACCAACAAAGTTTCATGCATAATAACGATAGTCTTTCAGAACCGGAACTTTTCGTCACTAAAAATCTCCTGTCAAGAAACCTCAGAATATTCAATATGAGATGTACATATGTCCTTAAGAGATGAACACTGACACTGAGGCCAATCAGGTCAATCAAGTCAAGACAGCCAATCTTATTGGCTACCCATGTCAGGTAGGTGGTCTGACATTATTTTCTACTAATCTCATGTTTCCACTGACTTCTTTGTGTACACACAGGTGTTCGTGCTCTGCCTCCATGAATTTATACTGACAACATGCAATTCAGGTGTTGCTTGCTTCTTTAATCTTGTAAATATGGAAAACTACTCACAGTACTTATGATACTATGATTTTGTAATTCCATTTCACTGAGTAGTGTCTTTTTTCTCCCTTTCTTTTCTTTCCCTTTTGGTACTGGAGATTGATCCCAGGTGTGGTTTACCACTGGACTACATTCTCAGTCCTTTTTAATTTTTATTTTTCAGACAGGGTCTCACTAAGATGTGAAGGTTAGCTTTCAACTTGTGATCCTTCTGTCTTGGTCTCCCAAGTGGCTGGGATTACAGGTGTGAGCCGCAGTACCTGGCATTTCATTTTATTTCACTGGTTCAGTGGTTTGTTTTCCAATTACCTCCCTTTTCCTCATCAATATTTGCCTTCAGTATATAATCTTTCCTTCAATTTGTCCTATTTCGTCTAATGCAGTTACATTCAACAAAGTAGGATCATGATAAGAACAAAAATTCCAAGAGGTGTGTGGTGCACAACTATTATAACAGCTACTCAGGAGACTGAAGCAGGAGGATCAGAAGTTTGAGGCCAGCCTCAGCAATTTAAAGAGACCCTGACTCAGAAAATGAAAAAGGTTGGTGATGTAGCTCAGTGGTAGAGTGCTCCTGAGTTTAATCCCTAGTACCTAAAAAGTAAAGAAAATAATAGAGAAAACACAAGAATTTCTCTTGGGGAATCACAGAAACCCCACGTTCCACATGTTAAAAACTAAATTCATCAACCAGAATCCAGCCTGTATTCCCCATTTAAGGACACCCAATGCCAAGACCAAAAACCCAGAAGGCTTCCTACTTCCCTTCTTTTGGTCTCTGTCCTTCCTGCTGTGAAGTCTTATCTGCTGGGCCCTATAAAGACCAGTTGGATCGGGGCAGTTTTCTCTGTCCTCACTTCTGCTACCTCTGTTTGGTCCCAATGAAATTTTGAATTCTCTTACTGAAGAACTGTTCCCTCCCCTCCCCACGCTCTGTCCTCCCCCTTTCCCTCCTCCTCCTCAGACCGAGCGGTGACTTAAGCAACGGAGCGCGGTGAAGCCCATTTTTCTCTTTCCTCGCAGCCGCGCTGGGGAGCTCGCGGCGCGCGCCCCCTCTACTCGGCCCAAGATGAATGCTGCGGCAGAAGCCGAGTTCAACATCCTTCTGGCCACCGACTCCTACAAGGTTACTCACTATAAACAGTACCCACCCAATACAAGTAAAGTTTATTCCTACTTTGAATGCCGTGAAAAGAAGACTGAAAACTCCAAAGTAAGGAAGGTGAAATACGAGGAAACAGTATTTTATGGGTTGCAGTACATTCTTAATAAGTACTTAAAAGGTAAAGTAGTGACCAAAGAGAAAATCCAGGAAGCCAAAGAGGTATACAAAGAACATTTCCAAGATGATGTCTTTAATGAAAAGGGTTGGAACTACATTCTTGAGAAGTACGATGGGCATCTTCCAATAGAAGTAAAGGCTGTTCCTGAAGGGTCTGTCATTCCCAGAGGAAACGTTCTTTTCACAGTGGAAAACACTGATCCAGAGTGCTACTGGCTTACAAATTGGATTGAGACTATTCTTGTGCAGTCCTGGTATCCAATCACAGTGGCCACAAATTCTAGAGAGCAGAAGAAAATATTGGCCAAATATTTGTAGAAACTTCTGGTAACTTAGATGGTCTGGAATACAAGTTACATGATTTTGGCTACAGAGGAGTCTCTTCCCAAGAGACTGCTGGCATAGGAGCTTCTGCTCATTTAGTTAACTTCAAAGGAACAGATACAGTAGCAGGAATTGCACTAATTAAAAAATATTATGGAACAAAAGATCCTGTCCCAGGCTATTCTGTTCCAGCTGCAGAACACAGTACCATAACAGCTTGGGGGAAAGACCATGAAAAAGATGCTTTTGAACATATAGTAACACAGTTTTCATCAGTGCCTGTATCTGTGGTCAGCGATAGCTATGACATTTATAATGCGTGTGAAAAAATATGGGGTGAAGATCTAAGACATTTAATAGTATCAAGAAGTACAGAGGCACCACTAATAATCAGACCTGATTCTGGAAATCCTCTTGACACTGTATTAAAGGTTTTGGATATTTTAGGTAAGTTTCCTGTTACTGAGAACTCAAAGGGCTACAAGTTGCTGCCACCTTATCTTAGAGTTATCCAAGGGGATGGAGTAGATATTAACACCTTACAAGAGATCGTAGAAGGCATGAAACAAAAAAAGTGGAGTATTGAAAATGTTTCCTTTGGTTCTGGTGGAGCTTTGCTACAGAAGTTAACAAGAGATCTCTTGAATTGTTCCTTAAAGTGTAGCTATGTTGTAACTAATGGCCTTGGGATTAATGTCTTCAAGGACCCAGTTGCTGATCCCAACAAAAGGTCCAAAAAGGGCCGATTATCTTTACATAGGACACCAGCAGGGAATTTTGTTACACTTGAGGAAGGAAAAGGAGATCTTGAGGAATATGGTCACGATCTTCTCCATACTGTATTCAAGAACGGGAAGGTGACAAAAAGCTATTCATTTGATGAAGTAAGAAAAAATGCACAGCTGAATATTGAACTGGAAGCCGCACCTCATTAGGCTGTTTTACGATTGGGTGTGTGCGTGTGTGTGTGTGTGTGTGTGTGTTTACATGCGTGCATGCATGTATACACCTGTATGTATGTAATACATAATGTTTATTGTACAGATGTGTGGGGTTTCTTTGTGTTTTATGATACATTATAGCCAAATTATTTGTTGGTTTATGGACATACTGCCCTTTTTTTTTTCTTCTTCTTCTTCTTTTTTTTTTTTTCTTTTTCCAGTGTTTAGGTGATCTCAAATTAGGAAATGCACATAACCATGTAAAAGATCACTGCTAAAGTAAGCTTTTTAGGGCCCTTTGCCAATAGATAGTAACTCAATCTGATATTGATCTTTTCACAAATAACAGAACCAAGACTTTTATATATAACTAAAGATCACATAAAACAGATTTGCATAAAATTATCATGATTGCTTTATGTTTATATTTAACTTGTATTTTTGTACAAACAAGATTGTGTAAGATATATTTAAAGTTTCAGTGATTTAACAGTCTTTCCAACTTTTCATGATTTTTATGAGCACAGACTTTCAAGAAAATACTTGAAAATAAATTACATTGCCTTTTGTCCATTAATCAGCAAATAAAACATGGCCTTAAAAAAAAAAAAAAAAGAAAAGAACTGTTCCCTCTTCATTGTTCTCCTTGCATACAGTCTTGCTCACCTTCACACCCTTCTCCACTTCCAGTCCGAACAATCTGTTTTATATTCAGATCCAGCAAAAATCAGTTTTTGCTTGAAAGCCTTATTTAATGCCTCAAATCCCTGACATACTATTTGTGGCCTTTCATTGTCTAGATTCTGTTTATGTTATCAGCATAGTATCATAACACCCCTTCTCTAACTCTTACTTCAGTGACACTGAATGATTCCTGAGCCTCTAACATGACCTTTGTATTTGGCCCTTAGGTTTTTGCATATTGTGACCCCTCTCAATGGAACATTCTTTCATCACTCTCCTCTCCTGGCCAACTTGTATATCTAGGTTCCCTATAGATGACAAACCCTTCCTGAACATCCTCTTAATTATCTTTCCAAATATAATGTTGTAGTTACTTCTCAGAATACCTATATCATGCTGACATGATCTCTATATCTATTTTACCTTGAACTGTGCAATTCTCACAGAGATTATATCTTATTTGCTGCTTATCCTCAGCACCTGTTACAGATAGTGACATTGCCTTGTATCTGTTTGCTAAGTGGATGAATGACAAGTCCTTTGTCATACATTCCTTGGTTCTCTCAGCATAATTGCAGTAGAACAGATGACTATCTCATGGGGTGATATAAGTATCATTTTTTAAAGGAATGGATTAATTAGATAACATCTTTAAACTGCTCTTAGGGCTTGGAGAGAAATACATTTACTGTCATTGAACATTTGGAAGTAAACACTATGACATCAGCTTTGTCTAACCCTTTTCAAGCTACCAGTCTTCATCTATCACTTTCAAGAATTTCCACATGACTAAAAAAATCTCTTTTCTATATGCTTTAATTCTCTAGTTGCCTCAGTTGGAGGAAAAAAAATGTTTCTTGTATTTTGGGCGGTATATATGATGATCTTCATAGTTATTCTAAGGCATATTACATTAGGATAAACTTGTTTCAACTATTTAAATTTAAATCCAAAAACTCATTTGTTTTCTCTCAGAAATCTATTTGAAATCTTTCAGCAATCCAGTTATTTAAACAAAAAACTTTCCAAAAGCAATATTGTCGTCTAATGCCCTAATTAACCTCTACAAACTGTATTTGTATTCCCTCTGCAGTGATTTCAAAATCTCTATGGTCCCTGGAATGCTTTTTATATCAATGGGAGAGCTGGGTTCTACTGAAAGGTTTGGATTTATTGTCTAAGTTTTGCTTATCCAATTCTTCCATGGTACTATATCCATTGTTAAAAGCAAACATTTTCTTTTCTATACTCTATTCGTTGTTCTTTAAGATTTGTTCTACTTGTTTTCTAATAGCAAATCATTACTGTTTGAGGGAATTTTGGTTGAATTTCCCACATTTAAAAATTACTCTGAAAATCATATTGTCAGACTAAAATTTGGCATAGAAATCAGCACAATAAGACTTTTAACATCTATGAGTCCTGCCTCCTTCATTAGTTAGATCAACTCTGACTGAACACAAGAATAATGGCAGGAAGAAGCTGGGCCTAGGCAAGCTCCCTTCCCAAACTCACACTCAACTTAAGTAGTTTTACTTTTATTTGTTGCATATGTTGGACAGCTGAGTAAAGACTTCATTTGGGAAAAAAAATTAATGGAAAACTTTGCTACAAAATATTTTAAGATCTTTTACCTTAGAGCCTGGGTAAGGCTTAGAGAACATAGAATACAAAGCTCCCTAAGGGCACCAATCCTTTTGGTTATATCTCCAATATGGCCTATTTGATATATAGTTGGCTAGCTTATCAACATTGTGCATCATACTCAGAATATCTAGGACAATTCCCATATATTATAAATGGACCCAAGGCTCATGCATTGCAGTAATTGCCCAGTGTGTGCCTTTGAAACCTCTTTCATACCTAAGGCTGAGGAAGGCTGGTTTCTTTCATTGAGCATTCTGAAAGAGTGTGTGTGTTTGTGTGTGTGTGTGTGTGTGTGTGTGTGTGAGAGAGAGAGAGAGAGAGAGAGAGAGAGAGAGAGAGAGAGAGAGAGAGAACCTCAAATAAGCCTGACTTGGAGATTATTCTGTTTATCTCTACACTTTTAATATCCACTAAAATTTTTAAATATCTCAAATATGCAAGTACATGGCAGAAGCAAATCAGACCTTTTGTATTTCTGTTTCTTTCCAACAGTGTTCCTGCGGTTTTGTCACTTGAGGAGGACATTGCTTCGATTGCATATGACCATCATCTCTTCTCCAGTCTAGAATTAGTGGTACTATTACTTTTGGGAAAATGGCCTTGCTGTACTGTATGGATTCTAGGGAAAAGGGTATCAATACAGCCCTCTGGAAACTCATGGACACTGAGTCACATGACCCTGTTAGCCAAACAAAACTGCTACTATGGGATTTGTACTTCATTTAGAAAGAAATAAGTTCTCTTCTCTTAGACTAGAGGGATGAGGTGAGCCTGAATAATTGCAGACCGTTCTTCATTACCTGTAGGCTTGCTCAGCTTTCATCTGTGTGATAGAAGGATTGATTTATATATGCTCATGCTAGTATGCTTAGGTGGCAAGGAGTCTATCTCCCTGGCAGGATGCCTGTAGCATGACTCTACCCAGGAAAAAAGAAGTTTCTTCAGAGAATTTTTTTTCTGAGATGTTTTCAGTTTTAGTTTTCCCATTTCCAAGCACTGCCATCTCTTCTTGCTGCAGGAAAAGTTTGGAAACTAAAAGTAAAGTTTTATGAAAGATTGCTCATCAATCTGTCCTGTGGTTGGGATAAAAACAAACATGTATTTAGTAGTTTTTTACCTTTTAACTCTCTCTTGTTTGCAATATATTGAATAAATACATACAAATTATTCCAATATGCAATCTACAAATGTTCACTGTAAAATATATGCTTTTCCTGTAACCTGTTTTCTTGTACTGATGACATGGGTCTATCTTATAAGCTTCTGCATTAAAAAGAATTAAACCAATAATCCATTTAAGTCATTATAATTAAGCTACCTCCATATTTCTTCTCCTGTGAAAATATGAGCATAGCTATCCTTAAAGTGGAATTCGTTTTCTTTTATACTTCTATAAGTTAGTTTCTATCTTCTCAAATAATGTGTACTCGACAGACTCCTTTTCAGTCCCTGAAAAGTAGAGTGGAAAAGATAATTTGAAATTAAGGATAGTAGAGTGGAAATGATAAATTGGAATTAAGGATCACAATAAAGTCTGTGCTAACACTTTGGTCCTTATTGCTCAACTTAACTGAGGTCCTACTCCTCTTAGACCTTAAAAGAGTTCTATGGTTGAAAAAAAAGAGCATCATTTTATCAGAGGACATTTCATTAATAACACAAATGAGCAAAGCTTGAAAATTTCTTTATTCTAATTTATTTTTATTCTTAGTACTGAGAATTGAACACAGAGCCTTTTCCTGGGAAGGCAAGCATTTTACCTGCCAGCTATATCCCAAGTCCTGAGAGTTTCTTCATTCTAAAGACACAATGGAAATACATAATTCCAATGTATAACTTCCCTAAATTTTATTTGCTTCTCTGTTGTTACAAGGGTAAACTCTCATAACCAGACTACCCGTGGCTACAAAGCCTGGCATTGTATGTTACTTCTGAATTGCTCCAACCCTGCAATAATTGACCACCTTCCTGACAAAGGGATGCTGCAAGCTGGAGCTAAAATGCATATTTAAGTCATATAAAATGTCAAAGGATTTTAGATTTATATGTGATATTGGAATCTAAATATCAACTTTGGCATGTGATTTAGATTGAGAGGTTGTAACGTTTTTCTCCTACTAGCAAAGATTTCCCTGGGGATTTATTTATTTTTTTGTTTGTTTGAATTAAGTGTATCAAAGTGCTTAACTATAAGCACAAAGAATTATGTTTATACTTAAGCAAATGATTTAGCTCCTTATTATAAGTTGACGTAACACATGTTTGTAACGGAGTTCTGAAGATATTGTAATGTCCAAAAATGCTTGTAAATTATTTCCCTTGTTAATTTTCCAAAGCAAATCTTTATTAACTATACTTATATAAGAGAACAACAATCCAAAAAAAAAAAAAAAAAAGGACACAATCAGAAATACAGTGTTCAACCCCCTGGGCTGCAAGGGTTTTTCAGTCCCAAAGAAGGAACTTTGAGGATTCAACAGATAGGGTTTGGATATTTTATGACTCACCTGCTCCTTGGTGGTGGCAAGCCAGGATACAATAGAGGGCTGCATGGCATGTACAAGCAGGGGAATATATGGGATAGGCTGCTTGCTCACTGCAGAGGTGAAGTTCTTCAGAAGTTTTATGTGTACATTCTTCTACTTTATAACCAAGGTCACTCTGCTTTATTCCTCACCTGAAGATTAGAGAGAAAGGAAACAACCAGTTGCTCCTCTCCATTTTCTTCCTTATCACATTCTTTGGAGTCCTTACCTCACTGCCAGGAACAATAGCCTTCCTAGGTACTGACTAGTGTTTACCCCACACAGAGATAGGAAATACAGGTAAAGGAAGAGCCAGCTCCTCACAATAAGAATGAGG